TGGTGCAGAAGAATTTAAAGGGAGAAGCAACTGGTTCCACAGATTCAAGGAAAGACAAAACATAGTACTGAGGAGAAGGACCAACAAGAAAAAAGAAATTCCACAGGGATTTGAGGAAAGCCTTGAAAACACAAAGGCGAAGAAACAAGTCCTATACAGTTGACCCAAAGTATAGAAGATGGATACCTAAAAATAGATACAATATCGACCAGGTAGGTTCCTATCCCATTTGTTAATAAGCAAGATAGAAACTGCGACACATTGGGTATTAAGCAAGTGTGCGTGTCACAACCATCATCTATATAACAACTTTATTTAAATAATAACATATAACATATTATTATTAAAAAAGGGTTATAGAAGGGAGGAACTTAATCCTCATTGTAAACTATACCCCAGAATCTTATCTGGTTTAGATAAACGACAGGCTACTCTTTAACTATGTATTGGGGCTGATGGGGAACAAAACGTGAAGCCAGCTCTTATCTTCAGAGGAAAAGGGCGTGTGGCCACTGAGGAGAAAGAAAAGTATGACAAGGGGGTTGATGTGTATTTCCAGCAAAATGCGTAGATAGATGAAGAAATCAACATGCAGTGGGTCCAGGGCACACTTATTCCAATAATTGGGAATGACAAAGAAGAAAAAGTTCTATTTGCAGACAATGTCCGCTTTCAACAAAGTCAATAATTCCATGAAACATGCAGAAATCAGATCGACACTACAGTTTACATGCTGCCTGAAAACCACACTGACAAAATCCAGCCCATTGATGCAGGATGTGGTCCGATGATGAAAGGTGAAATTGGTGCAGCAATGGAAATATGGCTGGAAGAGGAGATCAACGGCAGGATAGACTTTCAGCAAAGGATACAAGGATCTTGATGACCCAATGGACTGGGGAGGCGTAGAGTGACTTTAGTAATGATGAGATATTTTTTCAAGAGATTGTTTGAGAAAACTGGCTGTTTGCTAACAGCAGATGGCTCTGATTATGTAAAGATCTCACCCCACATTTAAATAGATCTGATCATTGGACGGGAAATGCGAGAAACTGAATGCTGACATTTTGCTCTCTCAGTTTGCTTGTAGGATTGGGAACCAGTCAATAGTTATATGGAAAGAGGGAGGGGGGCTGATGCATTTTGAGTTTGCTTGACCTTTGCTGAGTTTCGAGTTGTTTATCACTAGAACTGCTACCCCTTCCCCAATGCGATATTTTGCCTTGATTAATGCAGTTAAAGTTAGTTCCGTCCATGAATTAATTAAAATGCTGTGCTTGCATATTGATTTCATATGTTGGTAGTCTATGCAGTATTTAATTTTTAGAAACAACTATAAGAACACTTTAAGAACATTTTGCGGAATACACCCGATATACAAGAAAAAAATCAGCCTGAACCCCTAAAACACATGTTCTTTTAAGCGGGTTTTTACTATAGTGGCAGAGCCAGAAATAGTTGTAATAATTTCTTACTAGTATCATAACTTTTATTTTTACCGCATGTGTTTTACGAAGGATTTACAGCTGTTTTCACAAACCTTAATACGAGTGGATCTCATGGTCCACACTCAGTTGGCAGTCACTACACAGGTCAGGATCATGACGGACAAGTTACAGTGTCCAACGGTACTCAACTGTGGACTGTGCCACACACTGGTGAATACAGAATAGAAGCAATAGGAGCCTCAGGGGAGTACGGTGAGGACAGTGTGATCAGCGGAGGGAGAGGGGCACGGATGATTGGAAACTTTATGTTGACCAAAGATGAGATCATTCGTATACTTGTTGGTCAAAGAGGGGAAAAAGGGGCTTACACCAAAAAAACTGCCGGAGGCGGAGGAGGTACATTTGTAGTAACAGGAGACAATAAGCCTTTGATCATAGCCGGAGGTGGAGGAGGAGTTTCAAAAATGACAGAACAGTATTCCGGATGTGATGCGTCCATAAACACAACAGGGAATGCAGGGTATAACTCGCCATTCCTGTCAGGAGGAAGTAACGGAAATGGAGGACAAACTGAGAAACCGTACTCTGGTATGTGAAGAATTTCCTATTCATAACTACTGGATTTTCTTTTTTGCATCCATCAGTATTTCGAACAAAGAGGTGGTACAGGCCGCTCAAATTTGGAATTTTTTCAGAATTACTAAAAGTCATGATCTGTTAAGTTGCTAATGTCAACTGTAAATCTCTTGATTGTAGGTGGTGGTGGCGGCGGCTTTTACAGTAATGGAGAAGATTCAGAAATTTCTCGTGGAGGGGGAAAGGGAGGTAAAGGACTTCTGGCCGGGGGAGAGGGGGGAGCATATCTGGGTGGGTTCGGAGGTGGGGGTGGTTATCGTGTAATCTATAAATTACCTGGGGGAGGTGGAGGATACTCTGGGGAAGTGGAGGTGCGAATAAAAATATTTCCTGTGGGGGAGGGGGAGGTTCTTTCAACAACGGAACAAATCAGCAAAATGAATGTTGTTATAATACTGCTGGACATGGTAGAGTGATCATAACATTTCTCCACTGAAATGCATAGCAACACTTTTCTTAGCGTCTAGTGGTAATTCTGTTTTTAAGCGCTAATTGATGTCTGTTTTTAAAATCAATAGTTTAACTTTTTTGGATCATTTTTTAGATTTTGTTATTAAGCCGTGTTACTGTAAGACAAACAGTGCAACATGTGGTTCTAGAGGCGTTTATATTTAAGGTTAGAATTAAAATTTACAAACAAAATTTGCTAGAATAGGTGAGTTTGTGAATTTTTGCTGACCTTACAAATTTTTCGACAGCAAAAGCTGTAATATTTGTTCTTTTTCCGGCTCTTTTCGGAGCAAATAATCAGATGTTTTTGACTGTTCATACAGTTCTGTATTCATCTCTCAAGTTCAGTGGACTCAAACAAGTCTTTATTTTAAGCGTTTAAGCAAGGTTTAGAGCGTGAGACGAATTAAAAGTTTTTCGGCTGTGGGCAAAGTTGCTTATCTATTGTAAAAAATCTGAGATCAACGCAAAAACCCATTGCACTTCAAAGCATAGTGGCTTCTCAACATTTACATGCAAAGATAAGATACCAAAGAACACTGGCATTCATTACTAATAGAGAAGCCATTTGAGTAAAATTAATGCATGATGTACATAGTTTTTAGCGCCTAATACTCCCAGAGGTTCACTCTCAAAGGTTCACCCCAGAGGTTCACTCCTAGAGATTCACTTCCAGAGGTTCACTCCCAGAGGTTCACTCCCATGGGTTCACTCCCAGGTGTTCACTCCCAGATGTTCACTCCCAGATGTTCACTCCCAGATGTTCACTCCCAGAGGTTCACTCCCAGAGGTTCACTCCCAGAGGTTCAGGGGAAACTTTATGGTGATGAAACCATTTTTGTCAGCGTAATGTTTTCTTAGGCTTAGAGCTTAGAGCAAGGCCCGTGGTCACATGCAAACGAGGGAAGGTGGGAGGGGGGGATAGGGGAGAATGGAAGGAACATGGCTCGTACGTTCTTAGTTGTATGATGAATGAATATGTAGGTGATAAAAAACAGTGAACAACAAGTTATCCCACGTCTTTCTTCACACAAATACTTGCGCGTTAAAAGCATACAATGTTATGGTGAGGCAAGATTATAGTTTATAATATCCAGGGGACAATGTCAGCCACAAATTGCTTTCGCTTATAGAATAAAGAAGAGGCAAATGCCAGGAATGTTTAGACTTTAAGTAGCCGGGATGGGGGGAGTTAGTGATGATTGGTAAAATAATAACTGAGAAATCATTTTGTAGAGAAACAGTTGTGAACTCAGCTCTTCATATTCTTGTGTATCTAATGTCAATGAATACATGTAAAGGTCTATTATGCAGTCAATCGTTTTTTTCTTGATCAGTTCAAAACCAAAATCGATTTTCACTAATGACACAGCCAGTGTGACTCAGTTTCTTCAATTTTTTTGCCCGTTGCCCTTCTAAATTTTGCTGCGCATGACACTGACTGTATTCAAGTCAACGCAAAACTTTATTTACTTGTTATAGTTTTGTTTTTCTGCTAACATCTGCAATATCTTTTCCGGAGGCTCTCGTGCTCTTTCACTCAAAGTGGAGTAAAGCGCTGTAATTTTCATGTAGTTGGAAAGAACGATTTCTCTTAACAATAGATAGAAATGTATTGAGAACATTCGTTGCTGGTGGATTGACTAAAAGTTCCCAAGAATTGTTTCTATGAGTTACAGAAAAGAGCAATCACTTTTCTATATTGTAGGTCTATAGTGTAGATTTTAAAGTAAACTCTAGTGAAACTCAATAAATTGATATCTGGCTGTCAGTATTTTCTTCACGTTTGTTAGTTGAACCTAAATTAGTAAGTCACATCGACTGAGAGTAAGGCTAATTTGTAAAAGAACGAAAAAATAACCATGTATCTTACAGGAAAGTTCCTGAATCCCACAACTTCACTTATCATTTTAACTCGTCTTTGATGTTTTTTCGCAGCACACGAAACCAGCCTTGACTAAAGGTCTTTGCAGGGTAATTGAAAATTGTATGATGCATGAATATTTAGGTGATGGAAAACAGTTAAAAATAAATCATGGCGCGCGGAATAAGTTTATCACTTCCTTTTGATTATTAAGGATGAACCTTCCTTTCGTTCTGTTTCAGTTTTGTTCGTGTTGTTAGCTTTCATTTTGTTCCAAATGTATTGAAATGAGGTAACTGCAAGATACCCTGCCACTTTGGTCCACCTCATTTACCTGTGTCGGGAGGCTTTGAAGATCGTGGCATAACAAAAGAGACGCTATTCTTATTCAATGACATGTAAATGAGTGGCAGGGTATTCTGCAGTTTAGCCAAACCTGAACTTAACTTCAACAGACGCAAACCTGAACTAACGGAAGACAATTAGCTTAATTCAAAATACGCAAAATGTAATATAAAATTTGACACGTTAAATAAAGGGAGCACACAATCTAAGACTAATTGACATAAACTACAAGAACGCTTAACTTGCAAGAACTATGAATATTCCGACCAAGTACCGACGACGCAATATTGCTAAGCTCCAAGCCTTCGTCGATCTTACCGATCGATCCAATATGGCGACTTCTACATTCGGTCTAAGTTCGTCCTCATTCCTCAGCTCTAACCTTTAGTCACCTAAGCAGACTTTGGAACTTTCAAATTAGGCGATTGAAACGAGAAGATCTACTACAAGAAGCCAAGGTTTACTGAACGATCAAGATTCTCTGGTTTTGAAGGTGTTTATCTCAATTTACAATAAGAAATTGAGAAGCAGTGCACGAGAGCCGATAAGTAAAACGGAAGAGTTGGGGAAAGAGATTGGTGGATGTGGGGGAGGGGGGGGTTGGATGACCAGACTTCCCTTCCCGTCCCAGTTTACTTCGTCTTGTAGACTCTTCTTTTGCAGTGATTCATCGATAGGATGAGGTGTTTCCTATAAACAAGGAAGAGTCGTTTTTATGGCCAGCTACTGCCTACACGCGTATTACTCAAACAGAGACTAAAGTGCCACAATGAGCTCGAAAAATAGGTACGCGAGTTTCCTGAAGCGGTAGACCGCCCACTCCTTCAATTTGCCGCTTTGATAAGCCTTTTGCGACTTTTGAAGAACACTCGAGGAGCTTGGAAATCAGTAGCCGAAGGCAAAAGTTTTATAAAGTGCAGACCGTTGCTTCTATAAAACGGAGGTGCTGGTTTTTTCCTCTTGTTATCATCCAGGACCAAACATCGGTTATCTGAACATTGTTGGTAAGATGGTTAACGAAAATCCTTGGATATACCTTTCTTACTTCAAAGGTTGATTATTGCAACTCCTTGCTGTATGGCCGACCCAAATATGTATTGCAAAGGCTCGAAAATTTTGTCGCTTGAAGTTGGTCATTAACTAACCTGTGGGAAATAGGACTATAGGAAGTATTTTGAAGAGAAACTGTTAAGAAGTCAGTTCTTCATATTCCTGTGTATTTACAACAAAACACCAACTGCCAGGTCACTTATGTAAAATTATTTATATACGCGGTTAAGTCCGCTGACCCGAGCCTTTAGCTATTTTAGCGAGGTAAATCCACATAATAATTAATCTACATATCGTAACATTATATTAACAATGACATATCTAAGACTGGTTTTCAACTGACTGTGAAAGTTCATTAAGAAGTTACTTTGTTTTCTTGACCAGTTCAAAACCAAAATCGATTTTCAATTTTCGTCAAACCAGTCCAACCCAGTATCTTTGTTTTTCCGCTCTTTGGGCCGATTGAGTTTTCGCAGATTTCACTTTTTGCATGACGTAGAAAGCATTTCAAAAGCATTTCAAGTTGCGCCTATTGGAGTCGGTTGCAAATTTATCCTCAAAATATGTTTTTAAGATTCTACTTCGTATTGTGTTCTTTGGTTAATATCACGCACCTGAATTCACATTACGTGAATAGTTTGATTTTGGTTTCACGATTCCCAGTCAATTGAAAAGCATTCGACCTTTCCTCCAGCATTGAAACCAACCCACAAATGTGGCAATGACTCAGGCCGTGTTCAGGTGTTGGTGCATACTGGGAGGGGGTGAGGGTTTGATTCAGAAAATATTTTAAAACGAGATCAATTAAATCATCATGACAGTTTTCAGAATGAATCATTTAGAAGCTGGTAAACGTTCTTTTTTTCATCAGGGCACAAAAGCGGTTATATAAGGCAAGGTGATGGCACGTTCAATTTTACGCAGAGCTTTATTTACTTGTCAGATTGTTATGTTTTTGTCAGCATTTAGAATAACTTTTTATTGAGGTTCTCGAGCTCTTCCACATAAAAAATGAGGAGAAAAACGCTGTAACAAGCATGTCGCTGGAAAGAAGGTTTGTAAGTAACTGCATTAAGTTAGAGAAAAGTGCCTTCGGTTTTCATGAATCATCGGTCTGAAGTTTAATTTTTAACAAAGAGTTTGGTTGAAGTTAATAAATGATTCCTAGTTGTCAGCATTTACTTCTTGTTGGTTAATTGGACTTTACTGTAAAGTCACACTGTTTAAGAGCAAAGTTTACTTTGTAAAAGAGAGAGGAAATGTTTTTCACCGGAAATAGGAGAATCCCAAAATCTAGTGTATTGATCTCCAAACCACCATTTTTCTTTGTGTATTTGTCCATATTTTGAATCCATTTTCCTACTTCACTGTGCTGAGCCTCTCAGCGTTGAACTAATCGATATGAAGCTATATATTGAGGCCACGCCCTAAGACTCACATGGACCGCTTTACTTGAATGGCTCAGCGGGCCAGCGGATGGTGAACTCCAGCTATAACAGGAAGAGGAGACTTGGGATGTGCCCCGAAAATTTACCTGCAATTAACTGAAACTTTTTGTGGGGTAAAATGACTTAACAGAAGCGGAGGGGGATGCTGAAGAACTTTCGGGGACATCACTCTTTCTGCATTATTCCAAATTCTCCTAACACTGTAATTTAGTGTTAACAACTGAGTTGAAAACGTAAATTAGCCACCGTAAAGAGTAAA